TTGATTAAGTTTTGAATAGCGCAAAAGAGAAGAATATGTTGGATAATAATACCATCTGATGAAATGTTTCTCCAATAACGATTGTGAAATTCTACGCGCAAGCCATTTCTTTCCTCGGTTGTGGCAAATGGATCCTCATTACAAGGCCGGTGCATAACCACATAATCTATATTCATTTGAGAAAATTAAATCGAGAATTCACATAAAGCTCATCTGATCAACATTCAATAACATGCTTGTAGCGCATATGTAACAATCCTATATAAATGAGGTCAATGCAATTTATTAAATTAAGAAAATTATTAGAATTACTTGATTTAAAATTTCTGGTGGTATTACAAGAATCATATGGATTAAATTACTATTATATTGATGATATACTAAGATGATTGAGGTCGTAAAAAACAAATTTACCGACGTAACCAGGTGAACTACAATAAGTAGTTAGAATATCATCATCATCTTTCATGAATTTTGCAGTTCTAAACATTTAGCCAAAAATGAATTACTATCTTTTTAAATTTATTGATATTATAATTTGCTCCATTTATCAATACCCAGCACAAGAGTGGAATCAGGTCGACTCTTATATAATAAATTCTCTGGTTTTAAATCTAATATTATAATAAATATCTTTCAAAAATGTAAATAACAATCAATCAAAAATTACACATAATAATTACCACGATGTGCGAGATATGATTCGCGTGAAGATATGCTACTGCGTAAGTACTGTTTTAATTACTTCTACAGCATCAGCTTCGGTAAATTTTCCGCGATCACACATACGATCAAATAATTCACCACCTGTTGCACTTTTTTTATGAAGTCAAGATTATATATAAATGCACAACCAATTAATGGAACATTCTTCCTCTTGATACTTTACAGCATACTTTTGAATTTATTTTTTTTACTTCCATTCTTAAGAAAAACCATGAAATTATTTAAGCATTTGGTGTTTCTCGTACCATTTATTTTGTCGTATCCAAACGAGCTCTTTGGGGCGACCTTTTCGTCTGCTTTAATTACCATGGCTTCCTTAACTGACCCATAAGTTCCTGCATCTAATTTTTAGATTTGTTCGAGTTTAATGAATGATATTGACAAAATCTCGTTTCATAAAAGAATAATAGTTCAATGAATATGAATAAAAAAATACTTTCTCTATTTAATATTATTACATTCTTTATAACCCATGTGTAGGATGTGGCTAGTCAAATCATGTGGCAGTGACTTGATGCACAATTCATTGATCTTGCGATTTGGTTGGTTTACAACCTAAAAATCACAGGATCCGTAACATTTTTTTCACCATGGCTAGGATTTTATAATCATGCAACGGACCCCTTCTTTTATCATAACCACTCAAATGCTTTTTTCTCATCTTTTTGTGTTCCGATTCCAAGTTCATAACACCGACCAAGATTATTTTGTCCTAATGTATCTCCACCCTCCGCTGATTTCAAGTACCACTCGAATGCTTTTTTCTCATTAGTATTTGATTCCATCTTTAAGTTCAGTGGAATAAAATGAATTGGTTAAAACAAACGATAATCGTAGTCGTTTTCCAGTTACGGGGTGCACATGTACTCACACATGAGTTTGTCACACATAGAATTTGTCACACATAGAATTTGTCACACATAGAATTTGACACACATAGAATTTGAATCATTTCATGTATAAAAAGTCTTATTATTATGTAATTAATTCACGTTTTATAAAAAATAAACTGAAATTTTTAACGTCGTTATCGCCGCATAAACCACCTGGGATCCGATTCATTCAACCTAAAAAGGAAAAGGTGGCATGTTTTTGCAGCAAATAAAACACATGTACAATTGTTTGGGATGTCGGATGTAGTTATCGGGATATTGGACATCACCGTAAGTTCTCTCTATCTAAATGCAAAAGTACGCTAG